ATAGAACAGTATGGAGAAATGGCAGGACTGAAAATAAACAAAGAGAAAACTAAAGTAATAGTTAAAAATCTTACAGATAACAAAAAAAAACAAATATTGGAAAAAACAGAATTACAGATAGTTAAAAAGGTTAAATATTTGGGAATACAGTTGACAGCAAGATGTTCAACGATAAAAGAAGATAATTATATAAAATTATTAAATCAAATAAAACGGGACTTGGAAAAATGGGGAAATTTGCAATTGTCAATACTAGGAAGAATTGCTATAGTGAAAATGAATTTATTATCAAAAATCTTAAATAAAATTGGAGAAATTTTTTTTTGAAGATTTGAATTCACTAATTTTGAAATTTATTTGGAAAGGAAAGAAAGCTAGAATTAAGATGAAAATGTTACAAGATGCTAAAGGAAATGGGGGATTTGGCCTACCAGAGTGGGTTCTATATTATCAAGCATCCTTATTAACATAGGTAAAAGAATGGATAATTCTTAAAAATAAAAGGTTGTTATATCTGGAGGGACATGACTTACAATTGGGGTGGCACAGTTTTTTATGGTATGGGAAAAATAAAGTTCATAAATATTTCCAAAACCACTATATAAGAAATGCATTGTTAACAACATGGGAAAAAATAAAAAGCAAAATATATTTGAAAATTCCAGGGTGGTTGTCAATAATGGAAGCATTTGTACACCCAAATTTAGTGGACTTTGAAAAAATCTGGACATATAGAGATATTCTAAACTCTGAAGGACACTTAAAATCTAAACAAGAAATGGAAAATCAGGGCATCAACTTATCATGGTGGACACATTTACAAATACAAACTAGATATGACAGTGATGGCGAACCTTTTAGAGACCAAGTGCCCAAACTGCAACCCAAAACCCACTTATGTATCGTCAGGTGCTGGGTGGGTATGGCCCATTGGGTGGGTGTGGCCAATTAGGTGGGCGTGGCCCATTGGGTGGGCATGGCTGCGGTGGTAACGGCAGACTGAGTGGGACTAAAAAGTTCAATCAATCAAATCCAACTTTGCGAGATGTTTTTTTTCCCACGAGAAGTTGAAATTGATTGAAAAAAGTTGAACCTCTTTTTTTTGCATGGCGGTGGAGGCAGAAAATTTTGGATATAATATAAAATTAGAAAGATGGCAAAAAGTATGGGAAAGAAACTATAAATTGACAATGTCAACTTCCTATAAAGAAAATGTATATAAAATGTTTTATAGATGGCACTTGTCACCAGCAAAATTAGTGAAAATGTTTAAAAATATGTCAGATAGATGTTGGAAATGTAAACATAAGTCAAGCACGTATTATCATGTTTGGTGGACATGTGATAAAGCAAAGAACTATTGGAAAAAGATACATACTTGGTTAGAAAAGATGTTAGGTGAACATGTTGATTTTAAACCTGAACTTTTTTATTAGGTATAATGCCAGAAAAGACTAATAAACAAAGCTTATATTTGACTTTGCAGGTTATAACAGTGGCAAAAATCACATTTGCGCAATATTGGAAGAATGAAGGAGTACCATCAGATGAAAAAAATAATTAAAAAAATACTAGAATGCGCAGAGATGGACAGGTTGACTATGAGACTGAAAGAAAAGGAAAAAATGGACTATTATCAAACCTGGAATTTATTTTATTATTGGCTAGAGGAAAGAATAAAGGATTAGGAATTAAATATGTAATAGCATATGTAAACTCAGAAAGCACGTTGGTTGAAAAAATATTATTGTTTCTATGGAAAAAATGAATAAAAAGATTATAACAAAAATTCATTGAAAAAAAAATAGAAATTTAGAATTTTCTTCCCCATCCTGAGATTAGGAAACATTTGCTCATGTATGCATACAATAGTGGTTCTTTTAGGCTGAAAATTGATGCTTCTCATTTTTGCCAGCTTTTGTCCACCCTTATATCTACTTGGACCAATCATCAACAAATATAATCCTAGGAGACTTCCGGTGGCGAGGCTTCGCCGATGGAGGCTTTTTTCTTAGCCTCCTGCGTCAAAGCTATCAAAACAGCGCGGATCAGCTGTTTTGCGGCTCGGAACTTTCTCCCCGGGCGAAGGGGAGAAAGTGAGTTTGGTTTGGATAGGGGTTGAGTTCCCTAGTCCCCCCAGGAACGATCCTGGGGGGATGAAGGTGATGAACTCCCCCGGAGTCCGAACCTCTTCTCCGCAGCTCGGAGTGTCTTCGCTCTTCGGAGCGAAGCTAGACGTCGCCGCCACTGCTGCTACTTTGTATCTGCTTGTGAGTAACTTTTGAACAGACGGAACCTGACAGGGGATTTTTACTTTAGTTAAATTGTGACTTTAACTCAAAGATTTTACTGGGATTTTTGTTACTTGCTACCAGTGAAAGTGAGAAGAAAATGGCCGCGGAAGCGCTGCTTCTTCCTAACAAAAGGAAAACTTTCACTTTCTTTTCGGTTGTGGAATGATGCATTTTAAAGGACTTTAAAAAAAATTTCTTAACTCAAGCTTTTTTAAGTTTATACTTGCTGTTGTGAGTTTTAAAAATAATTTGGCAGAATGGCTTCAAAACGTGCTGGAGTTTCTGCATTGCCTAAAACAGCAAATTCAACAAACAAAAACCTAGATCCCCCCCACCATCACCTCCTCCTTCCATTACACTTAAAGATCTACAAGAGGCTTTAGCTAAGTCCTCATTGCAGACTGTGAAACAAACAGAAGAACTTTTGGATAAGAAAAATCAGGAACTTTGTGAAAATATATCACATATCTTTCAAGGACTAGCAGTTCATATTGATCGTATAGAGGGACGGGTGGATGAATTGGTGGAGAAAATGGAAGGAACAGAGGACAGACTTGAGAAAGTAGAAGAAGGCGTGGAAATTCTTCAAAATGACATGGTAATGTCACAATTCAGAGAAATGGAATTTGCCCTGAGAATTAGGGGTCTTAAAGAGGACTTACAAGAGAAACTCAAGGAGGAAGTTGTTACAGCTTTGGCCCTGGTATTGAACTGCAACCCAGAGGTGATTTGTGGAGAAATAGAAAAAAGTTTTAGAGTAAATTCCTGGGTTGCACGTCAGAGAAATATACCTAGAGATGTGGTTGTTTATTTTACCACAAGAGTACGTTGTAATGAAATTATACAGCTCTTTTATCAGCAGAGATTTCAAATTGCTGCACAAGATATTATACTTTTAAAAGAAATACCTTCTAAGATTTTAAGAAGAAGAAAGGACTTTACTTTTTTGGCTCAGGAGTTAAAGAAGCGGCAGATGCCTTTTAGATGGGAGATTCCTTTGGGCATTGTGGTAAATTTTGCGGGGACCAG